GGAAAGAGTTCCAATATGAACACAGAAAAATCTTATCTATGCTCCTGCTGCTCCTGCCCCGCAGCCGTTAACCTCAGAGCCAGAGACAAGCCAAGGTAGGCAAAACCTAGCTCAGTTTAAGAAGGTAAGGCTGGTCAGGAACCTGCTCCAGCCCTGGTTCCTTGCCCACTGCTGTTGAAAACGATTTGCTGTGTAACTCTTTGAGCTGGTCTTTCAAGGCTAGTGAGAGTCTGCAGTGAGCCACTTACAGGAAGATACTGTGCCAGCAGGTAGATAAGGATGGTTAGTTGGCTAATCTGGAATGTGGGTTTAGACTCAGCTCCACCACAGGGTTGCTAGGCATTACTAAGCAAGCTATTTACCCTCTCCGTTCCTCATTGCTCACCTGTTCTTTGGGGTTGTAAGGTGAGGATAGGCACTTCAGAGCGGTGTTTCCCAACTTTTTTGTTCCAGGGAGCCACCGTCAGCCCCCAGTTTCTTGTTCATTACCAGGGTAGAATGCAAAACTGAGGAGTCAGTAAATGACTACCTAAGGACTGTGTCCTGGGAGCTATTACTGGAAAGGGCAGAGGAGCTGGGAGCATTTGCTAAGTGTAGTAAGCAGGATTAATCCTGGATAACACGCTACTATTTATTTCGGATCTTTGAATCAGACCAGCTGTCTGAGGTGGTTAAGACCTAGGTACTGTTACGTGACAAGGGAGCCTTTCCCTTCTCGTGGGTGGAAGGTAGGGCTAGCTGATTCACACCTCTGATACAGCCAAGGGCACTGACAGCTCTGTGTGCACGTGGTCCTCGTGTCGTTTAGCAGTAGTTAGAATTAAGCACACATTACATTTTTGGTTCATTTTCTTGAATATCACCTTCCAAAGCATTGGGACTCAGTCCTGTAGTCACTTTTCTATGCAACCATCTTGCTAAAGAAACTGTCTTTGCATTTCCTCTCTGGAAGATGGGGAGAGGCAGTTGTTAATCCTTAGGGAGATGCTGCTGCTATCCCTTGTGTTCCTTTTGTTTCAGCGATCTTGGTGATTGAGTTTGTGTATGCTATTGTGGGCATCGTTTGGCTAACACAGTACTACGCTTCCTGCAATGATATCACAGCAAAGAGTGTCACTTTGGGTATGTATTTGGAATGTGGTTTGTGTGTGTTCTTGTGTATGTGCAGACATCGTCTTGCCTTGGAGAGCTAATTCATTCGTGCATGTGGGGATTGACTGTTGGAAGTGGATTGTAGCTGTAAATGTGGTACTTGTTCTCCTGAGACATTATTGCTCAGAACAGTTGTTCTATTCATTTGTTTGTGCTGTCTGCACTGAGGCAAGAATTCATGTTCCCATGGAAGGGTCTGGCTGGGGAATCTGTAAGACCTGGTTCCCCTTCCTCAGTTCAAAATGGCCTTACTGTTTCCCTGGAACTCCTTTTCAGTCTCAGCCAGTCTCCTGGGTGGGGGGTGATGCCATTGTTGCAGTCCCCGTAGATTCTCAGTGCGTATTTAATGGCCTGCTACATGGGCGGTCTCCTAAAACAGCTGGAAAATCTAGCTGTGGTTTACAGGATTTTCCAGAGGGTTTCCTTTTGCTGCAGCTGGCTGCAAGATTATTTGGGGTAGCTTTCTCAGTCCTGCAGCAATGGCAAGGGGGGTCAGATGTGTGTGGCGAAAAGCAGGAAGCGATGCTGCTGAGACTTATGGGCAGAGCACCTGACTTCTTTCTTTGCAGGAATGGTGGTGTGCAACTGGGTTGTCATCCTGAGCGTCTGCATCACTGTCCTGTGCGTCTTCGACCCGACAGGCCGGACCTTTGTCAAACTACGCGCCACGAAGCGGAGACAGCGCAACCTGAGGACGTACAACCTGCGGTAATGCAGCGTTTCTGGAAGGGTGCCCTGCTTTTCTCAGTTTTTGACATTCTCCTTGCCTTGCTTCAGGGAGCATTCAGCTTCAGGCATTGCTTCCCTTTGCTGTTGACGGTGATTTTGGAAGAGTACAGCTCAGACTGTCAGGTGCTGTGTGTGGGCATCTGTATCCAAAGGAGGCAAAGCAACGCAGTATCTGGTGTTAGTCACTGGATTTGTGAAGCCTTACAAGCCCTTTGAGCCAGCACTGACCACAGCAGCTTATTTATCCATCCTGTAGCAGTGTTTGGCCTGGTAAAGGTGAGGCAGGACTTGGATTTTGCTTAGGTTGAGTTAGCATCTTCTTCCAAAGCCCCTTTCTTCCTTTATTTTTATCTTCAAAATACAAACTTTTGACCCGAGGTTTCTTGTATTTAGTCTTGGCCAGGAAGCAGCTTCTTTTGTGTTGGCAGTCAGATCTTTTAATTAAGAATTGATTGCATCTTTGAGCTACCCAGATGGGTACATGAAAGCTTTTTTTCACCAAGCGAGGCATTTTTCAGAAGTTTTTTCCCAGTAGCGGGACAACACAAACAGGCTTTGTTTTCTTATGCCATCTTGACATATGCAACTGTCAGCAAGGAATGTGGCTTTGTAGGACTCGAGGGCATTAGGCTTAGAATGCTGAAAAACAAGGCTTTTAAAAAATACTCTGCAGATTTTGCATTTCTCATTGGAAATGTATGTTCAAGGGATGTTCTGAATACATGTTCTTCCAACGTCCTGACTTGGGATCCTTCAGGTTTTCTTTTTGTGCAAAAACCAAACTTTTCTAAGGACCACACAGCAGGTTTTGTTTGAAGGAGCATATTTTTTTTTACTGCAGAATGCAAGACATTCTTCCTAACCTTTCCAGTACGTTACTAACACTGGCCTTGACTATTTGGAGTTAGTGCCTCATTAACCTTACGTGTGTGATTGCTGCATTGGGATCAGGGCATTCCCAGAGACATCGGGATGAGAAGCTATGATGACACCGTGGATCTTCTGCCCTTCACTACATCAGACCTGTTTGGCTCAGTGCGTTCTTCTTCTGAAGGGAAACGGAGTGCCACGAATTGCAAAGTTTTATTTGCCAGAGAACTTAATTTTGGGGTTTGTTTTTGATGTACTTTTATCTCCCCTGGGAGAAGTTTTGAGATCCCAGGCAACTGAGTGAAGGTATTTATCCCTTGGGCCACGGCCAGGTTTTTTGCTCCAGGCCTGTAACATTTTCGGAGAGCTTGTGCCTGCTGTTTGCAGATTTCCACTCTAGAAAGGAAGTGTTAGCAGTTGTTAACAAGCAAAATGCTGTGGGCTATAATGTGAAAGCGAAACATAAAAAGTTACTATGTGTTCACTACTGAAGCAGTTGTTTTCAAACAATATATTTTTAAATTCTCCACTTGCAAAAGCACTCCTTTTCAAAGAATACATTATGAAATTCTCCGCCTGTTTCTGGATTGTGATCTTGTAAGTTGAGGAGGGCCAGCCATTCTGACTGAAATCCCTGTCTGCAGTGATACTTGCCCTCTGATGTACACCAGTAATGTGGCCTTTTTATTATGCTTAACCGGAGGTGTATTTCCTCTCTCTCAACTCATTAAAAAAACTCTATTTGTTTGTCACATTAAGGAGGTGTGGCACTTTGGCTTTCTTGTTGTGATACACTGTTGTAGCTATTGGACTCCGTTACACAGTGATTTTCCTTTAGCAGTGGCATCGTGATGTGTGTGGGCTTTTATGTTCTTGCAGAGCTAAGAAAATAAAACAACAAAACAAAAGGCTCGGCTAATTGTGCCAAGGCCTTTCTAAGAAACTTGCTTTAGAGCCCATACTAAACATGTGGAAGTTCAGTGTTAGTAAGAAGGAATTTAGGAAAAGTTGGAGTGAAATAGCTCAGATCGCTCTTGCTTGTTAAACCCCCGCAGTGAAGTTGTGAAGTTCTTTGCATTGCTGCCCGAGTCCTTTGGCATTTGGTGGAGCAAGCTTAGTGCTGCCAGCTCTGACTTTGGACACTTGAATTCCCGTTCCTCTTTTGGAGTCTTTCTTGGAGGTTATGGGTAGTTGTTCTGAAATGCTCAGGCATGAGTTGACGGTCCCTGCAGGATCTGCTTCTTCTGTTGCAGGCAAACTTGCCTTTACCAGCATCTTTTAATTCCAGCTGCAGCCCACTTTCTGTGCTTGGGTTTTTCCTCATGTGATCACCTGCCAGATAATAGAAGTGGTCTTTTGTGATTGCTCTGACCTGTGCTGAGTTAGTCTGTGTTCACATTAAAAAAAGACCCTGCATTAGAGGAGCTGTGGACTTTATCATATAGGTAGCATGGCCCTTTGGTACAGAACCACACAGACACCCGCTTGAACGCCACTAAGTCTGACTTGATCTAAGGATTGTTTGCAGGTATGCCTGTCAAAAATAAGGCACTGTCACCCTGCAAAACGTAGGAACTAGGACAAGCTCACAACAGTGGAGTGAACTCAGCGATAGTTAATTTTAAGTAGGGTTGTCCAATTAGCTAATTTTGAAGCTGAAATGGAAATGTCATATAAACCAAATGTGGGTTGAGCTAAACCTTCTGTATTTAGCCTTAACCTTTCCTAAATTGAAAGAGAACCTTTAGCTTGCTTTCCTTTTATATTAGATTCCAGTTATGCACCATACTTGAATAAAGAGTACAAATTGTTTTAGTTCTCAGGCTGCATTATGTTTAATAAGTATATTTTTCCAAATAAGCTATTTATTGGAAAAAAATTGCACAGCTCCTCTCATACTAAGTGCTCAGGGTCCTCTGTACCATTCGCACCCCTTGGCCCCGAGACAGAATTTTCATCCTGAGTGGTAGTACATCCTGGCACATGATGCAGCTGCTGAGTTACCAGTAGACCCTCCTTCCATCCAGAGCACCGGTTGCTCTTGGACATCCTGCTTCAGCAGGTACCATAGAACAACAGCAGCTTCATTGTGGCCATCCCATTCAGGCAGGACACCACGAATATAAATACGGAGGCTTGGTCCTGCATTGTGGCCATCCCATTCAGGCAGGACACCATGAATATAAATACAGAGGCTTGGTCCTAGTCAGAACAGCTAGATTATTGACCTTCCTGTCCTATAATATGAGATGAGTTGTTAATCTGTTACAGCTAGATTATTGACCTTCCTGTCCTATAAAATGAGATGAGTTGTTAACCTGTATGTGGTCTCCTTGTCTAGACAAAGACCAGGATAAATATAAGAATATGGTTTAGCACCAGTGATGGTGTAGGCTGTGGGACTTTGTATTGGATCCTACTCTCTGTGTGCAGTCGTGGTGTTCTGCCTGTCCTCATGTGCATACTCTACCCTTTATTTATAGACACCGCCTGGAAGAAGGGCAAGCCAGCAGCTGGACACGCAGACTCAAAGTTTTTCTTTGCTGCACACGGACAAAAGACTCTCAGTCGGTAGGTACCACGTCTCCTGTCAGAGAGCGAGCTACGTGTATGTCTGATGATACGTGGGACTCAGCGGAGTCCAGCAGTGTGGGATTCCTCTATCAAACCTGGACAATGTGTGTCTCATTTCACTGTGAGTGTTCTTTGAGATCTGGAGGCACAAGTAGTCCAGTCAGCCTTGACAGTAGTGCATGCAATGACTGGAAATGCCTTTCAAGAATCAGCAAGCTGAGCTGCCCTCAGAATGAGCGAATTAGCAGGCTTGAAATTTTGCTGCGTACTGGTTCCTTTTCCTTCCTTTCAGCCCAAGTAGCCTGAATGAGCACTTGCGTTTCTGCAGGAGGATACCTGGGTATTCCATGCAGAAACAGAAGCTGGTGTTTCCCTCTAGATGCTGATGGAAGTAGGGCAGGTGTCTTTCAAAATGACTAGTCTTAACCCTCTGGTTTTCAGTATTGCAGTTGGTAGCACTGAAAAGTAACGTTGTCAATCTTAAACTCTTCTCTTGAAGTTGTGCTTTACCTTGCTGTTGCAGTGAACTGGGATGATAATTTTAAGTTAAGACATCAGTAGAAAAAATACATGTTTTCACTATGTTTAGGTTCAACATTTGACAGTACTTTGGTCAGCTTCAGTTTCCTGTTATCAGCCAGTTTGCTTAGGCGGTTTCTCCTTTTGTTTGTATCAGTCTCGTGTACTTAAAAAAGGAGAGAGACCTCTTTGAAAACAAGAAAATGTAAACCTGTGCAAATCAGCAAAGTAATGCTTCTGGATTACTAACAGCCAAAAACTACTACTTAATCCATAAATTCACATGAAGGTCACTAGTTTGCAGTTTTCATGTGCTACAGTTGGGATTTTATTTTAGTGTTATCTATAATAGGGAAGAACACCAGGCTTGATACTGCTTCCCCAAAAGTTTGCAGTTCGTTCTTACTAGAAGCAGTTGGGAGTGGGTTTTCAACAGTACTCCTGAGGACCTGCTGCAGAGGTGACTACTAAGGTGGAAAATTTTGCTGATGATTTGCAGTATTTAATGTGGTCAGAACTATGAGTATTTGAGGACACTCGAAAGACCAAGAAGAACCAGGGAATTGTTATCAAAGATAGAAGAAAGTCGTGAAGAAATATGAAGAAACAGTTTAAATTACTTCCATACGCTGGGCTCTGAATTAGTTACAGCCTCGCAGGAGAAGAGCTAGGAGTTATCAAGGACACTTCAATGAAGACATCAGTGCACAGCAGTGGCCAAAAAATCAGAAAAAAACCATTTAGTTTCAGTAGAAGGGCATAGAAAATGACAGGGAAAACACCAAGGGACCGACCACATCAGTGATGTCCTCGCTAAATATAGCCTGCTGTTTGGTCTCCTAAAAGATGCAGCAGAAAAAGGAGCGTATTTGAGGAGATATGAACTTGTATAGGAAGAGAAATGAGACTGGGATTTTAACCTCCAAAGGGAAAAGCATAATAAGATGAAGAGTTGTGTAAGAATAATGGAGAGTCAGGTGAAGGCTACTGGAACATTTGTTCAACACAGATGGCAACCAATATGAATTAGATTAAAAGGGTTTGTTGGTAAGTGCTGTGCAGTTATTCTCAGGGTGCAGTTTCCAAAGTGTGGACGGCTGCAGGTACTGTGATAGCCCTTTTGCAGAAATCCAGCACCCTGTACTGGCACGCTGATCCTCCCAGTGACACGCTCCTGCAGTACTGGATGAAATGCCACCGTGTTCCCAGGGAATGTCCCAACCCCAACCTGCTGTCCCACTGAGCAGTCACAGCCCAGGACTGCCAGCTCTCACAGATCATCTGCTGGAGCTGCTTAGGAAAACCCTTCTGGCAAACCAAAACAGGACAAGCTTTGTGTCATGGCAGCTCAAACAGCAGCATTTCCTTGAGGGTTATTTGCTGCTCCTCCGCTTCCCTGTGCTACCGCAGCAGAGGCACCTTCCCTTTCCCCCTTGACAGCACAACCAGGTCACCTTGCCCAGGTATCCAGAGATGCTTGTCCTTAGGATGCAGCATGGGCGCTGCAGCCGGGGTCAGGAGCCCTGAGAGGCACCCGAATGGCCTGATTTCTGAACAACTCTATTTTATTCAGGAATGCAGAATATTTCATTCCATGTTAAGCTTTTTTAAACAGAACTATTTGGTTGGTTGGTTGGTTTTGGGTTTTTTTTAGTTCAGGATAAAAGCAGATACCAGAATCCTCAAATTTCATGTGCTATTGAATTTCTGTTTTACATTCAGCTTGAGCAATTTCCAGGCTCTTTTCTTTGCAGAAACAAGCTCTGACTTTGTGTGTCCTGGCATGACAGCATGTGGAATGAATGTGCATGGAATGGGTCAGAAATGAATCCCTTGCTGTCTCTCCCAGTCTTCATGGAAATCTGTGGTAGCAGAGGATCATCGTCCTCTAGACCGGAAAATATTTTTCCAGAGTGTACGTGGCATTGGGGCAAGAATCTGTTCTTATGGATTTGGAGTGAAGTCTCCACCAGCTCTGCCAGCCCCAGAGCCTGTAGGCTTTTTATTGAAACACTACAATAAATCCTACAATATAATATCAGGTGCTCCAGCAAAAGCTCTTCCTTCAGAGCAGAACATACATGTTGAAATTCCATTACTGCCTTTTACTTTGGTCAGAGTATTAAGAGGTGTTTTTGTCACTTTGGGTTAACAGCTCTCCATCATATTTTACTTCGGGGCTGTTTGCATTTCTTGTAAGCTTATAGGAACGATGCTAAGATTTATGGGGTCAGTACTTCAAGGATACTGCAGTTGTGATGTTGCCGAGGTTAATGCCAGTCCATTTGCTCTTCAGAGGCACAGCTGGCATGGAAACCCGCGCAGTTGGCACCTGAAGCCTTGTTCTTAATGGTGATTTAACTTGCTTTTGTAGGCAAGTGAAAAATGATAGAAAGTAATCTTGCACTCCAGGAGTTTGTCAGAGATAAAATAACGTAGGTCATTTCCTGCAAGACTGCTAGGGAGAGAAGGGATTAACTTTCTTGCCTGTCAAAGAAGAGAGATGGAGAGATCCTGTCCTGAAGACCAGCCTTTCTTCAAGTGCATGGTTCAGGCTTTCTGCAGACAGGACTGCAGTCACATGGCTTTAGGTGCTGAGTGAAGGATGCTATGAAAATACAAGCTAAAAGTTCAGGATAAGGCTGTGACAGACCGTGGTAGGAAAGGTTTAGTACTGGCAGGAGTCAAAATACTGACTGTTTGTGTACTACAGCACTGTCTCAGTCCCACTTTTTGTTCATCCAGCCTCTTGAGTCAGGTCACTTCCACTTCTCTCCCTCCTGTGGTGTCTTCCTTTATTGGGTTTGATCACCTTGTCTTCAGGAACTCTGCATTTAATGGCTCAGATCTTTTCCCAGGTTTTCCTTTTCAGGCCCTTTTGCTTGGGTGTAGTCAAAGGTAAACCTGGAAAAGCCTGGTAAATTGGTCAGCTCCTCCAGTACCAAGAGCTGCCGTATGTAACTGCTGCTTATTGTGATTAACTCCTTGAAATCACGTAGCAAAGAACGTGATGGTGAACAGTGAGCAGCTACAGAGACTGTTCAGTGGCAGGATTCAAAAGCTGTCACTTTCTCCATGACATGCCTGAAATGGTGAGGTCTGGGGTAAGTATGGGCGGAATTATCCCAAGACAGAGTTACAGAACTGAAGAGCCTGTTAAACAGAACAAAATCAATGCTTTTCTTTTTTACTTTTTCCCCCTGAGTAGCCTTTGTTCAAATGAAGTTGCTCCTGAGGAGAGAGGATAATTCTGAGATGACGCTGGATTGGGAACTGGTTCTCATCTTACTTCCTCTGTCTTACTTCCAACATGAGATGAAAATGTCTTCTTCTGCCCTTATGTATGTTTTGATATTGAGGTGGTCTGCTTACCCACACATAAACACCCAGCATAGTACCAATTCAGTCTCAGCTGAAGCCTCTGAATGTGACTATGTAAAAGAAGAGATATTAATATGATTAGACCAGATATGGTGTTCCCTGAAGGAATCTCGTGGATGTTTTGGAAAGAGAGCTACAGAAATGAGGCCATTGCTGCCGCATTGGTGTTCATTCTGTGTCCTGTTTTGAGACTCCCCACACCTAAACTCCTCCTCCTAAACTCTTCTCTCCCTGGATTTTTGCAGGACGCCTACTCTGAAATCGCCTACCTTTTTGCTGAGTTTTTCCGAGACCTTGACATCGTCCCATCTGACATCATTGCAGGACTGGTTCTTCTGCGCCAACGGCAGCGGGCAAAGCGCAATGCTGTGCTGGATGAGGTGGGTGGAGGGGGCATGATGCTGTGCATGGAGGTGGTGGGCATCTCACTTGGCCTCTGACTTAACCTGCTGCTCTCGTGACTCATCGTGTGAGAACCGCATGACTCTGCCCACCTTGTTTCTGTTGTGTGATGGGCCATTGCCAGTCACCGAGCTGTAAAATAAAAGCACTAGTTTTTTCAGCAGCTATTTCTGAGACTCCCAAAGGGCCCAATTGACACTGAGTCAAGCTTGTGAAACCTGTCGTCTTTTCTAGACAGGTGAAACATACAGATTTAGCTCTTGACCCCAAATGGGCAACTGCCTTGAAGGAGGTGGTAGGTACTTGAAAGTGAATGAGAAGACTACTCCTCCTATATAGTGATGCGGAGAAGACTCCAGCATCTGGGTAGAGCTGCAGGAGAAACTTTAGAGAGTAATTCCTGAATTCCCAAACCATTACTGGCATTAAGATTTGTGGATTGTCAACCCAGTAGAAAATAGTTTGGTTGTTGGTTTGGTTTTTTCCTGGAGGTGGGGTTCAGACAGCAGTGGTCAAATCAGGCAGAAATAAGAACAGCAGGATTAGAACCAGTTGAAAAGACTGGTTGGGATACTTGGAAATATCTTGTCCCGGATTACATAGTGCTTTCTGTTTCTCAGGTGTAGATTTTGCCTTGGTGTCACAAAGAAGAACTTTTATTTGTGTTTGTGAATTACAGGCAAACAATGACATTTTAGCTTTTCTGTCTGGGATGCCAGTGACCAGGAACACAAAGTATCTGGATCTGAAAAATGCGGTAAGTCACTGGACTGTGATCTTGTAAACTGGCCATGCTTCCCTGTGTAGCCTATTTTCTTTTTCTTGGTGGCTTCTCTTACTCCTTTCTGTGCCTCTCTGCAATAATAATAATAAAAAAGACAAGTATAACAACAACACTTACTCTCTGGAGGTATTTTTGTCTTTAGATCACTTTTAAAGCATTATCTGTCTCCGCCTTCTGCTTTGTGGGAAGTGGCAGTATTTCTGCTCAGGGTGGGGGAAGGCAATGTGAGGTTTCTCCAGAACCCAGAGGTATGAGCTTAGCGCTGCATCCAGCAGCAAAGTGCAGAGCTCTGTTTGGAAGTACCACCAGCAGAGCTCATGGAGCCCAGCAGGCAGGGCTCCGTTGTGTTAAGGGCAGGGAGCTGCCTGGAGTGAGGTGGAGCCTGCCTTCCTTGGGCTGATTATCAGCAGTTCTCAGGATGGAAATGGCTGCAGCCTATTCTGTGTGAATTAAGCTTGGCTTTTCTCCTGGTGTGCTGCTGTTGCAGCCCTTCATTGGGCAAACTGTGTTCACTTCTCTTGATTAGATGATATCGCTGCAAGAGAGGTGAGACTGACCCAGTCCCAGTGTCTCTGATCCACTGATTCTGTGATGTAACCTGCTTGTGGCTGTGCTCTGCTGCGTTGTGTTTAACACTAACGTCCTGCTCGTGTTCAGCCTGTTTCTCCTTCTGAATAGGCATGTGGGGAGACATGTCAGCAGAGCTTATAGAAGACAGCACTGAGGCATGTGGCCCCAGACTGGCTTTATGGTCCTCTCTGTGCATCTTCATTATGGCCCGTGATTATGGGAAAGCAGAATATTTAGAAACCTCATTGTCTTGGGACTTAAATTAGTTTATCTTCTCAACTAGAGTAGGATGGGGCAAAACCCACAGAAGATGACCTTCCTTATGCAGCCAGGTGTTTGATGCAGAGGAGAATTTATCTACAACCAACTTTTAGTTTTGTTTTCTTCTCGGGAAAATAGGCATAGATATACTGAGCTGTTCTTGGGAGGGGGAGGATTTTCCCCAGCATAACCAGCTTGCTCTCCTGCAGTCACCTGAAAATGCTGACAGTGCTGTTCTGGTAGTGTTGATAGAGGTGGCTGATGCTCAGAAGGAGGAATGCGCATGTCTGACTATGATGGGAAAAGGGAAACAGTAGAAAAACTCACTGTCTAGAAGAGAATAAGGCCTTCAGCGAGTCTCTTGTCTCTTTCAGCAAGAGATGCAGCGGTACAAGGAGGTGTGTTACTACATGCTGTTTGCCCTGGCTGCCTATGGCTGGCCCATCTACCTGATGAGGAAGCCCACATGTGGACTCTGTCGCCTGGCCAGATCCTGCTCGTGAGTGGCCATCCTGTCTAGCACTCCTCCTCTTCTTCCCATTTCCCTCCTGTTCCTCCCAGACTTAGAATCCTCCTTTCTTTCATCACTTACCTCTCTTCATCACCCCTCTATTTATTCTTGTTCCTCTTCTCTTCCGCTTTTTTCCTCTTTTCTCTTCTCATGTTTTTTCTGTCCATCTCTCAGTAACTCTGTGCCTTCGTGCTCCAATGTCTTTCTCATCCGTCTCTTCCTTACAGTTGCTTATCTGCTTATTTAGTTAAATAAAGTAGGCTGTCCTGTGCTCCATCCTCTCAGGTACACTAAGGATTGTGCAGTTTGAACAGCGAGGAGAAAGAACTCATCTGGCACAAGTCTGCTTTCACACTGACTTAAAATAGCTGTCTCGGAGCTTAGAAATCAGATATATCGGCAAGCCCAGCTACGCAGGGAGCTGACATTTGGGTCTTTATTAACGCATTGGCAAGACTTGGCCAGAGTTTGGGCTGTATTCTCTCTGTCTGATTGGTTTTCTGCTGTGCTGTATAATGCTCACCTCACAGTAGCAGTGCTGTACTTCAGTACAGCATTGCATTGTTTTAAATATTTGCTTTCAGCTGCTATAATGCTGTCATCAGATTCTCATTGAGGCTGAGCTTTTTACACTTATATAGGCAACTTCTGTGCTGCACTTATTATGAGGAATATACTTCCTTTTGAGTACTTTTATTTGTGAAGTGTCTCATAAATGAAAGAAGGAAAAGAATATCTGCACTTCTGTTTTTGTTCTGGAATTATTCTAGCCCTGTTTTCTTTTTTGTTACAAATAGATCTAGTAAATGCTAGCCGCTTTGTGTGTTGAAGCAATGTAGGACTGTGCTATGAAGCATAGTATCCTTGGTGGAGAAATTCCAGCCCCACCGTGCATTGATTCCTTGGGGACTGGTTGCACTGTAGCTCTCTCTGGTGCTCAGAAAGGTAACTACATCTGATCCCAGTGCCCCTTTTTGATGCTGAAACATGAGTTATGTGCTGCTTTGTGCAAGAGCTACAAGTGAAGGAAATCACTGCTGTTGACATGAGGCCATGTGGCATGCAGGTCTGGCTTTCCCTTATCTCTAGGCGTTCCCCTCTAAAGCCAGTTTCTTCCATGTTCCTTGTTTCCTCAAAGCTGTTTTCTTCCTTCTGCAGATGCTGCTGCCTCTGTCCTTCACGTCCTCGCTACGCACCTAGTGTCACTATTGAAGAAGATAATTGCTGTGGCTGCAATGCCATTGCAATCCGGCGCCACTTCTTGGATGAGAACATGACCTCAGTGGACATTGTTTACACATCTTGTCACGATGCAGTAAGGAGAATTTGCAACCCCCTTCATATTTGGAGCGTGCTCCTAAGGCCCTTCCTAAAGGGATTTATGTGCTTCCAGGTGTAGTGGTACAAAGAAGGAAACTTAAGCCTTTTTCTGACCCTAGAGCTTCCCATCCTATCTCTCCATCAAGAGATTCTGCCACTTGAACAGAAATCTTTGCTACTGCCAAAAATCAGATCATTCAGAGGAGTCCTTACCCTTAAGGCATAACCTGTCAGGCTGCTCTGCCTCCTTTTCCCTGAGCAGGAGAATAATTAAACAGGAATGTCTCACCTGATTGTTACAGTAGTGGATCTTTTCCAGGTTTACGAAACGCCTTTCTATGTGGCTGTGGACCATGATAAGAAGAAGGTGGTTATTAGCATCCGAGGAACTCTGTCTCCAAAAGTAAGTGCACTGTGCGGTGGCCTCACGTACCCTTGGCCATCCTGGGAGACTTTTCAGGAGGGTCTGAGACCTTTCCTGACTTGCATGTGGTGTTTCACTGACCTGGAACACGGTGACTGCTTTTCTTCCAGGATGCCCTGACTGACCTGACTGGGGATGCAGAGCGCCTTCCAGTTGAGGGTCACCATGGAACGTGGCTGGGACACAAGGTGTGTAAAGGAAAACAAACCCAGAAGAAACTAACAAACAAACCCACTTCTTTTTCCAGTGTTTTGACTTTTTAATTCTAGGCCAAAAAAAAAAAAGTGGTCTTAATTGCTTGAGATATTTTTAAGAAAAGTGTTACATAATTGCAGTGAAATGGCTTTGAGATGTTAAAATAAAATCCTTAGTTGTAACAGTTAAAATCACTGTCTGTAATAAAAAACCCTCATACAATTAGTAAAAACCAAACTGTAAAAGGCATCTGTGGAGAACTTGAGCAGAATTATTGGAGTTATTGAAATCACTTTTTCTTCCAATGACCTTTTCAGACTTTGTAAACAAGTCCTGAGAATGCGTTTAAAATTCTGTTGCAACGAGTTAGACATTGAACCTCAGAAAAGGATACTGGCAGGACTTGCATCTGTGTAATTAGACGGATACTACGTGCCTGTGTTTGTGATCAGGACTGGGCTGACTAAATCAATTTACTATAGAGCTGACCTTTGCCCTAGTCCAGCAAAGTAATGACACACATGCCGAGTTTTAAGATTTATCAGAAGTTTGGCAGACACTCAAGATGTGGTGCCAGATTGGGAAAGAAAAATACAAACTGGAGGTTGTGCATGTTGGAAGGGACCGTAGCAACTGCTGGAAATGCTGCTGCTCAGGGACAGGAGATGCTGGTGATCATCTGGTCCCCTCAAGGGCAGGATGTAGAGCTTGTAACTCCTTGGGAACCATGAGCTCAGAGCTCTTGCTTCATTCATGATGTCCTGCCTGAATGCCAGACCTCTCCTCTGTGCTTTGATGCCCTGCGTTGGGAAGTAGAGCATTAGTAGCTGATAGATACTCAAATGCGTAACTGGGTATGGGTCTGGTAAAGAAGCAGTTACCCAAGGAAGTGTTGTCTGGATGCTGAGTGGTCTTCAAATCTCCCATAGCTGGTCTTGTTGCAAACAGTGTTGTGAACCTGCTGTTTGGCTAATGGGTATTTCCTTTGTTTCCCCCAAAATGAGAAAATTAATCAACCTGGCAATTACCCACGACGTGTTATGGAAACACAGATAGATGAGGTAGTATTTTGTCCCATAACTGATACTTGGCTATGTGAATCTTTATTATTTAACACTTCTGAAGCGTTGTGTCTGCTGTCAATGATATTGTCACTTGGTTTTGTACTAACTCATTTAGCTCAAAATGACTTTGCGCAATCAGCGTGATCAGCAGTTCAAACAACAAAAAGAAAGGTAAAAGGAAACCAAAGGGAAGCAAGGGGAATTTGTTCCATTTTTAATGTGCAGAAAAGCTAGTAATAGATCCTTGCAGAAGCTGGCTTTTCTTTTGATCTTTATGTGAAAGTATTCATATGCCAGTGACTTATATGAAACATTATCAGATAATTCCCTCTATTCTATATCAAGTTTTTATTTGGCCTTTGTGTTATTTCTTTTCTTTTATTGTTGCTAGTACAGAAATATAGCTTTATCTTGAGTTATTATCAGTATTAATCTTCAGACAATAATGTATTGTTGATTCCCGAGGGAAGCTAATGGAGATAATAGAATTTAAAAATGCCTGTCTTAATGCATTTTTAATGCCCAGAATTCAACTTTAATACAAAAATAAATGAAGAGTCTTGCTAACACATTTAATTTGGAGAAAAAGTACTTGGCCATTTGGGAGCTTCCTGTACGTTGTTTGATTTCTGTTATTTTTCTTGCTGATTCTGTCCCACATACCCAGCAGGCTGGCATGGCCTCTTATCTCCACCTGCGGAGCCCACCCGTCACTGTGCCTCACGCAGTGTCGATCAGACATCCTACAAATTAAAACTCTTGATGTTTACATGAGCCTTCTTATCACTCCACTGGTACCACAGCTGAAAGTGTTTGATTGCTTGGGTTGCTGTGAATGCCACTGCCTAAATAAACGTTAGGTCTTTGAGATATTTTGGGGCAAAAACCATAGCGGTAACTAAGGTTTATGGGTTAGCGTGCCAAAAAAAGAGAGGGGGTTTGTGACAATCCCTGGGAGAAATTAACTGGAAAAAAACTATCTAGCTTCACTATTTTTAAAATAAAATCTACTGACATTGTTAGAAAAGTTAATTGAAAAATAATCATAAGTCAAGGGTGTGAATCCATACTTAATTCTGTTGAACTTGTATGGCACAAAACTACTAATATGATGTTATGGAGGTTGGTTTCCTGGTGCAGAGCCAACCAGGATGACAAGAAGTAGCTGCTAGAAAGAAGCCCTGAAAGCTCAGCCATGATAACAGCGCTCACCAGTTTGATAGAACAGTCAATAACGGCGATAACTTCAAAGCTCTCTCCTCTACCAAACAGATCCCCTCTGTGGGTTTTCACACCCACAGTTCAAGTACCGCAGAGGAGTTTTGTGCCTTCAAACTGCAAAGCAATACAGAATATCT